CCTATAAGAGGACCATCTTAGGCTCAAATGAATATTCAGACTAAGACTTGCCTTTGGTGATCCTGGCTTTGACTATTCGGAATATGACACATACCAAGAATATCAGCATGTTAGGTCTATGTTCAAAATATATTATGAGTGTTACACTTTCTCAGCACTTTCCATCATTAACATTCTAATCCAAACCACCACCATCCCCAGTTTGCACTACAGAATTGGCCTCCTGGTGGCTTTTTCTATTTTCTCAGTCCATAGGCAACTTGTCTTTCAGTGGTCTTTTTTAACATAAGCAATATCAGTAAGAGAGTACACTACTTACCATTTTGTGATCTAGAACAGCCCTGTCCAATAGAAATGTAATACAAGTCACATATGTAATTTAGAATCTCCTAGTGGTGAATTTTAAAAGAAAATGGTAATATTAATAATGCATTTTGTTTATTTCAATATATCCCAAATATGGTCAGTTTTTATGTACGATCACTATAAAATTACTAATAGATCATTTACATTTCTCTTTGCTCAGCGCCTTCAAAACCTGGTATGCATGTTACATTCACAGCACATCTCAATTTAGTCTAGTAACATAACTAGTGGCTCCCATACTGGACAGGCTGCTCTAGAGCTCTGCTTCCTTTCACTTTGTACTCATCTTCTGATTTCTTTGACATTTATGAAATGCCTTTCTTTGTCACTTTGCTTATCTTTGCCATAATGGGTAGAAGATGAAAAATTTTGAATTCTTAACTGTGTTCAATAAAAGCTAATTTTTTTTAAGGCACAAAATTGATGTCTGCAAACTTCTTTGAGGCCTTAAAGGATGATGGATGGGAAAAAAAAAAAAGGATGATGGATGGGAGAGCCAGGTAGCTCAGTCAGTTAAGCGTCTGACTCTTGATTTCAATTCAGGTCCTGATCTCAGGGTTATGGGATTGAGCCCTGTGTTGGGTCCCTCTCTCAGCAAGGAGTCTACTTAGTATTCTCTCTCCCTCTTCCTCTGCCCCCAGCATCCCCTCTCTCTCTTTAAAATAAATAATTTGGGATCCCTGGGTGGCACAGCGGTTTAGCGCCTGCCTTTGGCCCAGGGCGTGATCCTGGAGACCCAGGATCGAATCCCATGTCAGGCTCCCGGTGCATGGAGCCTGCTTCTCCCTCTGCCTGTGACTCTGCTTCTCTCTCTATCTGTGTGACTATCATAAATAAATTAAAAAAAAATTTAAAAAAAATAAAATAAATAATTTTTAAAAGATTTTATTTATTTATTCATGAGAGACAGAGAGAGAGAGAGGCAGAGACACAGGCAGAGGGAGAAGCAGGCTCCATGCAGGGTACCTGATATGGGACTCGATCCCAGGTCTTCAGGATCACCCCCTGGGCTGAAGGCGGTGCCAAACCACTGAGCCACCTGGGCTGCCCATAAATAAATTAAAAAAAAATGATGGATGCAATCCTTTGAGCAACACATTGAGAAAACTGAAGAGCAATGTAATGACTTATATTACTACTGTATCATCTTTCTGAGTGATGCCAGCATTCTTCCACTTTCTTATTTTAATCTTTCCTTTTTGCATACTAGGATATAATTGATGTAATGATAAAGTAGCTTTTCAGAAGATAAAACAGAAAAATGTCCCAAGGGAACATTATTCCTTTATCCTTAAAGGAAAAAATAGATGACTTGTATCACATTGTATATCTTATTTCTATAAAAGGATTCAGTAGAACCCTGTGTAACTGTAAGGTAGAATGAGATTTATTCTATTTTGAAAATAAGTGAATTTTCCTCTTTGGAAGATCTTTAATAAAGAATAAAAGTCAGAAAATATTAATCCTTACAAATAGTTAGAACTGCTTTAAAAAGAAAACCCTCAGTAACTAAAACTTAATCCCATGGGCCCTGATAGTTCATGGAATGCTAAGATAGGTCCTAGGAAGTATGTTTTTCTCAATTTTATGTAACCCAAGGAATTATGTTGGTTTTACTTCTTGGATTCTTCCACCACATTTTTGATCATTTTTCAGCCTTACTTGGAGGATAGAACATATCTTCTTGGGAGCAAAATTATCCAAATGGACACAGCTGTTGGGTGTATCATGATTGTGTGTATATGAAAGTCACTTCAACCTCTGAAAGTGTTGTATTTTCGTATTCTTTTATTTGGAAGATTATTTGACCAGTTGATAAGAAAATGGCAGCATTACAGCACTTGGGACTAGATTATACATTTGAATACCGCAGAGTAGACAATACTAAGAAAAGTATTATGATCAGGATTTCTAATCTGCTTCTAGGCCAGAATCAAAGACTACTACTCAGATTTAGCCAAAAGAACAAATTCCATACCTAATCCAAAGAGCCCACAGAGCCCAATATGGAGGAATTTATCCTAATTACCTAACTTGGTGATTTCTTGCTTGTTTCCTGGATAATTTTAGTGATCTTAAAGATCTCAGAGAGGTCTTTAAAGATGTGAGTACATTTTTGTAAGAGTCATCTCTCTCTCTTGTTGGCCAGTATATTTTCTAAACAGAATCTGTTTTGTACTAGTGCCTATGCAATTTCTTGGAAAAGAGTTCTATACCTTTGTGACATTGTCTAGATCTAGTGTTACTGGGCCATAGTGCTGTATAATTTTCCCCATTTTGAGGTCTTCTGGTGTAGTGTGACATGAAAAGCCATGAGGGCAGAAGAACGCAGTTGAAAATTATCCTTTAATAGTGGTTGGAAGTTTTTTTGACAACAATCAACACCCAGATTTTCCTCTTCTTTGAATCAAATGATCTAAATATCTCTCTTTTTTTCTGAGAATTGGGAGGTTGATAGGCCAAAATGGTCTTAAGAGATAACAGAAATCATCCTAAAGGCAGATAGTTAAGTTAAATAACATGTCTGATTCAATTTTCTGTTGACTTTTGTGTGCAAATTCAGTACTAATCTTTGAGGGCCATCCCAGTGGTCTGGTTCCAGTCAAAATGCCTGTATGGCTTATCACATTGTATGGAAATGTTTTTAAAAGGTCAACATTTTTGTCTGGAATACATCACAGGAGGTGATGTGTATTTTATCAGAAAACACATAGTATCTGGTTGCACTCATCATTAAGGTTGATCACTGGAGGAGTCTTGGATGGCTCAGTTTGTTAAGCAGCCAACTCTTCATTTCAGCTCTGGTCATGATCTCAGGATCCTGAGATTGAGTCCTGAGATTGAGCCCTGCATTGGGCTCTGCACTCAGCTGGGAGTGTGCTTGAGGGTTTTCTCTCTCCTTCTCCTTCTGCTCCTCCCCCCACTCACATGGATGTGTGTACTCATGCTTCTTGCTCTCTCTCTCTCTCTCTCTCTCTCTGTGTGTGTGTGTGTGTGTAAAATAAATAAATCTAAAAAAAAGAAAAAAAGATTGACCACTGGATTAGAGTGATAATAGTCTATAGTCACAGTAGTTAATTTTTCCCCTTGTGACTAAACAGTAATCTGTGTGGTTTTATTTTATTATCAATAAATAGTCATTTCTTTAGGAACCTGTCATGTTGTTAATCCTCATCAGAATAAAAAAAATCATTATTTGTAGGAAGATACTTTGTTACTATTATTTCTTGTGTAAATAAACTAGTAATTTTAGTTGTCTTGAAACATAGTTCCAATAAAAGAGAAAGAGAAATTACTTGAATCTTTACTAGTAGTTAAATACTTTTCCTAAATAGGAGATTATCCAACAACAAAGATTAAAACTTAATTTTTTCTGTTCCCTTGCAAGAATTAATATGGATTCATCTTTTATCCATCCATTAGCACTTGTTCAGAATGTGTAAATCAAAATAATCATTTGTGTGTTCCTTTTGTCATTGTATTTGCCATACGGAGCTCCATATTAAGTCTCTCCTGTTTCTTGGAGAAATCTATGAATCTTGGAAACTTACCTGACTTTTTGGCAAAGATATCTAAGGTTCCTCCTTCCCTGCCTCATTTCAGAAATTGTTTATTTCTTCAGGGATTATCTATTTCATACTAATCGGTTATCAGTGAATTATTTGTATGATACTGTCTTTTAATTATATCCTAATTCTTTTGTCTAGGGATTTGTCCTTTTTTTCCCCTTATAATCTATTTCTGCTATGTGCTAGAAGAGTTATATAGTTCAGTGCTGAATGAAATAGGGGTTGGGCCTGCTTTTAGAGAGTGTGTTAGTTTTCTATTGCTTTGTAACAAATGACCACAAATTTTGTAGCTTAAGACTACAGTAATTTATCATCACATAGTTCTATACATTAGTTCACAGGATGGTAAATCGTAGTATCAGCTGTGACTGCAGTTCTTTAGGGCATGGAGTCTTCTTTGAAGCTCACTGGTTACTGGTAGAATTTATTTCCTTCTCACACTTTCCATGTGGCCCCCTCTGTCTTCTGGCTAGCAACCAGCAAGTCTTGTCCTTCTCACACTTTGATGGTCTCTGACTCCCCTCTGCCCTTAGCCAGGAGAAAGCTCTGCTTTTTTAAATAATATATTTTATTTTATCTTATTTTATTATTATGATTATTTTTAAAGATTTTACTTATTTATTCATGAAAGACACAGAGGCAGAGACACAGGCAGAGGGAGAAGCAGGCTCCTTGCAAGAAGCCCATTGCAGAACTTGATCCCTGGATCCTGGGATCATGTCCTGAGCTGAAGGTAGACACTCAACCACTGAGCCACCCAGGCATCCCCTTCTTTCAGATTTTCAACTGAAGGATGATGAGACAGTCAGCTCTAAAGAAGTACCCACAATTGAGAAGTGTACATCTTTTGGTCTACATCAGAGAATTCTTAATAGAGAGCAATCATGTGAATGTCAGGAATATGGGAAGACTTTTTGTCAAGGCTCAAACCCTGTTCAACATGGGAGAACACATTCTAGTGAAAAACCCTGCAAACGTAAAGAATGTGGAAAGAACTTTAGGAATAGACATCGACTCCCTGAGCATCAGAGACTTCATATTGGTGAGAAACCTTATAAACGTAAGGCATATGGGAAGGCCTTTACTATACCATTTTGTGCTTTGTTCAACATCAGAGAATTCACACTTTTGAGAAACTCTATGAATATAAAGAATGTGGGAAGGCTTTTATTAGAGGCTCAACCCTTGTTAAACATCAGAGAATTCATACTGTTGAGAAATCCTGTGAATGTAAGGAATGTGGGAAAGCCTTTACTGTATATGGACAACTTACTCCACATCAGAGCATTCATACTGATGAGAAACCTTTTGAATGTAAGGAATGTGGAAAGGCCTCTCGACTTAGTTCATTTCTTAATGCACATCAGAGAATTCATGCAGGGATAAAGCCCTGTGAATGCAAGGAATGTGGGAAAGCCTTTAGTCATACCTCATATACTGTTCAACATGAAAGACTTCATTCAGGTGAGAAATCCTATTAGTGTAAGGAGTGTGGCAAGGCCTTTAGTACTGGCTTGTACCTTGTTCAGCACCAGAGGATTCATACTGGTGAGAAACCCTATGAATCTAAGGAATGTGAGAAGGCCTTTAGAATACATGTACATCCTACACAACCTCAGAAAATTTACATTGATGTGAAACCATATAAATTCAAGGAATGTGGAAAAACTTATAGTCATGCCTCATACTTTGTACAACATGGAAGAATTCATCCTGGTGAGAAACCCTATGAATGTAAGGGATGTGGAAAGGCCTTTACCCTGTATGGACAACTTATTGGACATCAGAATGTTCATACTGGTGAGAAATCCTTTGAATGTAAGGAATGTGGCAAGACCTTTAGACTTAATTCATTCCTTACTGAACATAAGAGGATACACACTGGTGAGAAACCCATTAAATGTAAAAAATGCAGGAAGGCCTTTATATACAGTCCAGCCCTAAAAGTACATCAGAGAAACCATATGGGTGTAGATTTACTAAGAGTTTAAGGAATTTGGGAAGTCCTTTATGGATGACTCCAACACTGCTCAGGATTACAGAATTTATGCTAATGAGAAACTTGGATGTAAAAAATCTTGGTATGCCTTTAGAAAATATTCTCATATTAGAGAATTCATAATGGAATTCAGAAAACATGGGGCATCTGGGGGGTTCAGTGGTTGAGCGTCTGCCTTTGGCTCAGGTCATGATCCTGGAGACCCCGGATCGAGTCCCATGTTGGGCTCCCTGCATGGGGCCTGCTTCTCCCTCTGCCTGTGTCTCTGTGCCTCTCTCTCTCTCTCTCTGTCTCTCATTAATAAATAAGTAAAATATTTTTTAAAAAGTACATTGTGTCTATAGTTTTCCATTGGAAATTTGAGGAAATATTTTTGGTATCCAAAACTTATTACCCCGTTAAGTAAATAAGTTACTGACATCACTGATAAATGACTGAAGTTCCAACAAATTTCTTTGCTGTTTCATTATATTCTTGTTAATGAAAATAGAAATATCAACATTTATTTCAACAATAGGCAAAAGATATGAATGTAAATTTTACCAAAGATATGTGGGTGGTAAATAACATTTTTAAAATGTTCAATTGAGATCATGAGTCGTTAGATAAATGCAAGGTAAAGCCACAATGAGATTCTACAACTACCTGCCTGTTAAACTTTTTTTTAAATTTATTTATGATAGTCACACAGAGAGAGAGAGAGAGGCAGAGACATAGGCAGAGGGAGAAGCAGGCTCCATGCACCGGGAGCCCGACGTGGGATTCGATCCCGAGTCTCCAGGATTGCGCCCTGGGCCAAAGGCAGGCGCCAAACCGCTGCGCCACCCAGGGATCCCCTACCTGCCTGTTAAAATGGCAAACATTAAAAATGCTGATCATAGCAATTATTGGCTAGTATATGGAAGAATTGGAACTCATTCACTGCTGGGGGAAAGTAACATGCTATAGGCAGTTTAGAACACAATTTGTTGGTTTCCAAAAATTTAAATATTCCCCTGACTTGTAACAAAGGTATTGTACTTCTAGATTTTATCACAAAGGAAATGAAAGCATAGACCCATCTGAAGACCTGTATATTCAAGGTCATAGCTTAATTTGTAATAGCCAAAAACCCATGTCATGTAACATAAAAGGGTTAAAAAATTCTAGTACATTTGAATAAGGATTCTGGGAAGATAGTAGATAGGAAGCAATAAGGAAGTCATCTCCCTACCCTGACAACAATTATACTGGCAGAATGTCTACTGTAAGTATTTTGGAACTCTGGGGTCCATCGAAGGCTTATAACTTCCAGAGGAAGGCATAAGCAGTAGTAAATTGCAGCTATTTTGGGCCAGTATCAGTCTTTAGCACTGTAGCAGCTACCCATCCCTTATCCACTTGCCCTGTCAGGCAGCTATATGTGTGTCCCTGGAGCAGCTTGCATGCAGTTTTTGGGAGTCTGGGTAGGATCCCACTCTACAAATATTGGGGATCTGTGCTATAAACTGATTGCAGAGGAGAAAACATAGAAGTGGGCAGCCATTTGTGCAACCCTTATCCAATTGTTGCAAGCCCCTCCCTCTGTGGCTGAAGTGACTTCCAGGGAACTTAAGATACCACATACCTTTCCTCTTCATTTTTCTTTCTCTTCTCTTGGGAGCCAAATATTTAGGATTTAGACATCTCAAAGCAATCACATATACAGTAGAATTTTAAAAGTTAAGGCACAGGTTCAGAAAAGACCCTGAGATACACCACACGCTATTCCCCAGTGGAGACAGCCTATGACAATTAAACAAATTAAGTAAAAATGGCAAACCCTGGGAAAAGATGAAGAATCTGATTTCCAGAGTTAACACAGTACTAAATTTAAATGTCCAGTGTTCAAAAACAAAAACAACCCAACAGCCAAAAACAAAACCACAAGAAACACACACACACACACACACACACACACAAAACCAAACAAAACAACAGAAAGAAAAAAACATGGCCCACTTTAAAAAAAAATTTCAGAAACTGTCTCTTAAAAAGACGTGATGGCAGTTCTATTATACAAACATCTATCTCACAGATGGTCAAATAACTAAAGGAAGACATGGAGAAGGGCAAGAAAATGATGCATGAACAAAATGGAAATATCACACAAGACACAGAAAACATAAAAAGAAATAAAAAAAATTCTGGTGCTAAAATTACCATAACTGAAATGAAAAATTTGCTAGAGGGATTCAAAAGCAGATTTGAGAATACAGAAGAATCAGTCAACTTCAAGATAGGAAAATCAAAAGAAAGATTGAAGAAAAGTGACCAGAATATAAAGCACATCTGGAACACCTTTAAATGAAACAATATACATGCTGTGGGAGTCCCAGGAGGCAAACGAAAGGAGAAGAGGGATAACTTGAAGAATTAACTCCCCCAATTTGATGAAATACATGAATATAAGTATCCAAGAATCTCAGTGAACTCCAAGAAGGATGAATTCAAAGAGGCTCAAACCAAGACAAATTACAATTAGTCAAAAGACAAAGAGAAATTTGAAAGGAACAAGAGAGATGACTCGTCATGTACAAAGGATACTCAATAAGATTATCCACAGATTCTTCATCAGAATCCTTAAAGCCAGAAGGCAGTGGGCTGGTATATTCAAAGTGCTGAAAGAAAAGAAAAATGATAACCAAGAATTGTATATCTGGCAAAATTGTCTTTCAAAAGTAAGGCAGAAATTAATTCCCAGATAAACAAAATCCAAGGAAGTTTGTTACCACTAGATATGCCCAGCAAGAAATGCCTAAGGGAGTCTTCCACTTGAAACCAAAGGACATTGGACTAATTCTAAGCCATATGAAGGAATAAGATGACTTGTAAGGATAAATACATAGGTAATTTAAAAAACTATCATTATTGTACCTTTGGTTTATAACTCCATTTTTAAGTTTCTACATGATTTTAAAAGCTCATGCTTTTTTTTTTTTGGTAAGAAGCTCGTGCATTTTAAAAAAACAAACATTATCCTATGTTTTGGACATGAAATGTATAAAGATGTAATTCTGGGATATCAATAACTGAAAGATTTGGGGATGGAATAGGATAGGAGTAGAGTTTTTGCATGGTATTGAAGTTAGGCTGATATAAATTCAAATTAGAATATTAATAATTTTTGGATGTTCAACATAATCTCCATGGTAACCACTACAAAAATAGCTACAGAATATACACAAAAGGAAATAAGAAGGGAACTAAAACATTTCACATTAAAAAAATAAAAAACAGAAGATACTAATATAGGAAATGGAGGACAAAAAAGCTGCAGAAAAAAATAGTAAGATGACATAAGTAAATCCCTCATCAGTAACTACTTTAAATGTAAATGGACTAAACTCTCCAATCAAAAGTCAAAGACTGACAGAAGAGACGTTTAAAAAATTATCCAACTGTATGCTGTCCACAGAGACCCAACTTTACAGCCAAAGATACAAGCAGGTTGACAGTGAAAGGATGCAAAAATATTCCATACAAATAATAAGTTCCCATACCAAAAAAAATTACAACACATATTTGGGCAATTTTATATCATAATAAAAGGTTCTATACAGTAATAAAGTGTTAACAATTACAAACATTTATTAAACTAATAAAGGACCAAGAAAATATATGACTTAAAAACTGGCAGGAAGAAATAGTTTTACATTAGATGGAGACTTCAATACCCTGTGCTCAATAATAGACAAAAGTCATTAAGGAAATAAAGGTCTAGAACAACACAATAAACCAATCATATTTAATGGAAATGTACACAATACTCTAATCACCAACAACAGAAAACACATTGTTCTCAAGTGCACATGGACATTTCCTTTTTTTTTCACATGGACATTTCCATGATAGATCACATTAGGCCACAAATTAAGGCTTAATAGATTTTGAAAGATAAATATGCAAACTATTTTCTCCAACCTCAACAGGATGAAGTTAGAAATTGATAAAAAGCAAACTGGAAAATTCACAAATTTGTGGAAATTAAATACAGGTTTAAACAATCAATGGAACCAAAGGAGAAATCACAAGGAATATTAGAAAATTTTTGGAGATGAAAGAAAGCAAAAATACAGAGCACCAACTGGGTGGCTCAGTTGGTTAAGTATCCGACTCTTGATTTTAGCTCAGGTCATGATCTCAGGATCGTGAGATCAAGCCCTGGGTCAGGGCTGTGCTCAATGCAGAGTCTGCTGTCTGCTTAAGATTCTCTCCCTCTTGGGGCACCTGGGTGGCTCAGTCAGTTAAGTATCTGCCTTTGGCTCAGGTCATGATCCCAGCATCCTGGGATTGAGCCCCGTATTAGGCTCTGCTCAGCAGGAAGTCTGCTTCTCCCTCTCCCTCTCCTGCTTTCCCTGCTCATGCTCACATGCTTGCGCTCCCTCTCTCTCATGCTGCCTTCCTCTCTCAAATGAATAAATAAAATCTTAAAAAGGAAAATTCTCTCCCTCTGGACCTCCCTTTTCTGCTTATGTGTATGCACTCTCTCAGCATGGCTCTCTCTCTCTTTCTCTCAAAAAAAAAAAGGATAAGAAAAACACAACATATCAACATTTATGAGATGTAGCAAAAACTGTATGAAGCAGGATGCTTACATTAAAAAAGAAAGATCTCAAATCAACAACCTTAGTTTACAACTTAAAGAACTAGAAAAAGAACTAAACCAAGAGCTAGACAAAGGAAAATAATAAAGACTACAGATTTAAAAAATACAGAATAGAAAAACAATACAGAAAAATCAACAAAACCAGAAGATGGTTCTTAAAAAGATTAACAACATTGACTACCTTTAGCTAGAATGACTAAAAGACTCAAATACTAAAACCAGAAGTAAAAGTGGGGACATTACTACCAATTTTACCAAAGTAAAAAGGATAATGAGAGTACTCTGGACAATTGTACGCACAAAAAATGGAACCTAAATGAAATAGACTAAGCCCCAGAAACAAATCCTGTCAAGACTGAAGCATGAAGAGAATATCTGAATAAACTTATAATTAGTATAATGAATATACAACCAAAAACCTCCCCACAACAGACAAAGCTCTGGACCCAATGACTTTATTGGTGAATTTTATACATTAAATAACACTAACCTTTGTTAAAATTTTCAAAATACTAGCAAACAGAATTTAGCAGCACATTGAAAAGATTATACACTATGTTTAAGTGGGATTTATTCTTGGGATGCAAGGAAGGTTCAACATACGAAAATCAGTGTAATACCCCACACTAGTAGAAGGAAAAAACAGGATCCTCTCAAATGATGCAAACCCCCCCCCAAAAAAAAAACCCACATTTGACAAAATCCAACTCCTGCAAGATAGAAACACTCAACGAGCTAGGATAGACAGAAACCACTTCATATCTATCTAGCTAGATACTATTCAGAAATTTAAAAAAAATTTTTTTTTCAAAGAAAAAACAAGTGGGGATGCCTGGGTAGCTCAGTGGTTGGGTGTCTGCCTTTGGCTCGGGGCATGATCCCTGGGTCCCAGGATAGGGTTCCATGTTGGGCTCCCTGTGTGGAGCCTGCTTCTCCCTCTGCCTGTGTCTCCACCTCTCTGTCTCTGTGTCTCTCTTGAATAAATAAATAATCTTAAAAAAAAAAACGTGTTGGTGAGGATATGGGAAAACCAGTACCCATATATACTGTTGGTAGGAAAGTAAAATGATAGAGCAACTGTGGAAAGCAGTATGGAGGTTCCTCAAAAAATTAAAAATATAATTACCATAGGATCCAGTAATTCCATTTCCAGATATGTCTAACAGAACAGAAAGCAAGGTCTCAAAGAGAGATTTCTACACCCATGTTCGTAGCTGCATGATTCACAATAGCTGAAAGATGGAAATAAAATATCCATTGATAGATGAATAAAAAGCAAAATATGGCATAGAAATACAATGTTATGAATATATACTATGCATCCTTAAAACGAAAGGAAATTCTGACACATGCCATAAAACATAGATGAACCTTGAGGACATTAATGCTAAGTGAAATATACCAGTTACAAAAAGACAAATACTAGAAGACTCTATTTATATGATGTACCTGAAGCAGTCAAATTCACAGAGACAGAAAGTGGAAGGGCAGTTTCAGGGGTTTAGGCGATGGGGGGGGGGTCTTTGGAATTATTGTTTAATGGGTACAGACTTCCAGTTTTGCAAGATGAAAAGAGCTCAGGATGTGAATGGTAGTGTTGGTTGTACAATATGAATGTACCTAATACCCCTGAACTACGCACTTAAAGATGGTTAAGATGGTAAATTTTATGATGTATTTTACCAGAGATTTTTTAATTTAAAAATTAAGCATAACAAACTGTGATGGATCTCAAGAGAGCACCACTCACAGCAAAAGGAATGAGCTGTTCGTACATACAGCATGGATAATCCTGTTGTGGAAGAAAATAGACCAAAAATAGGGTAGAAATACTTTATGATTCCAGTTGTATAAAATTCTAAGGAAGGCAAACATATCTATAGTGGGAGAAAAAAAGGTAAATCAATAGTTTTCTGGGAAGGCAAGGAGGGAAAGTAAAAGGCACGAGGTAGCTTTGTGGGTGATGGATAGGTCCACTGTCACAGTTCTGGTGTTGGTTCCCTGAGTGTTTACTTACTGAAAAACTTATCAAATTGTGCACATCAAATATGTACAACTATTGCATGACAATTATATCTCAATAAGACATTTAAAGAAATTGTTGCACGTAAAAATCTGATCTCCCATTCATTTTAGAAAATTAGATTTGCCAACCCTATATTGACTCTGCTCTCTTTCTCTGTCTCTGAAGCCTTGGTAGCAAAAATGGCTGGCTATGTCACAAACACTGCATCCCTGGAGTACAAGATCTACCTTCTCTTAGCCCCTATTCTCTTGCCAATGCAGCAATGGCCATGACACAAATAGTGCAGAGAGCCTTAGTATGCACAAAACCTTTCGATTTTTGCTCTGCTGGTGACCTAAGCCATAGGGCAGAGGTCTAAAGGTCCTGAGAATTTCTGCAAAGCCTGAATCCTGAATGCAGAGTCACATTCAAAGGAACATTTGTGGATGCACTTTTAGAACAGGTACATTCCCTCTAGTTTGCTGTAGACTTGCCTACTCCATTATTACCCACAGTTTTTCCATACAAATTATGGTCTCAATTGGGCCCAGTAAGTCTTACAATTAGGAAACCTGTATACCAGATGCTAAAATTCACGGCATATGGCTCCTTGGAAGGTGCCAGCCAGGTAAACAGTATCTGGGAAACAAGAGGCCCTATTCATGTTGCTCCCAGATGCAGTGGAGGTTGTCACAACTGCCCTGTCCTCGGAGTAATCTCTGGCTCACAAAAATTCATGCCATTCAGATCGCATTAGGCCCACAAAGCCCTACCATCTTCCCCTGGAGGCCTTGAGCAGCAACACAGAGGAGGCCAAATTTAGACTAAGAGCTGTTTTCCAACCATCCTGCTCTTCCCTTAGAAGCAATAGGTTTAAGAGGCCCTTTTAGTTTGGTAGACCTCAACTGTTCTCAACCCACTCCACAGTGATCAAGACACATGAGATTTTAAGGTGGCTTTATCACTAAGGCAATGCAAAGTAGGTAGCTGTTGGGATGGGTAATGTGGAGATCAGATAAATCCACCATGAGCATCGTATGAGATCAGCCATGTCCTTGAAAGAAGGGAAACCTCCACAAGCTGCCAGCAGAACTCAGCTCAGGTCTTCATGGTCAAAGATGGGTCATGTCCACAGCTACACTGGTTGGAGGGAGGGAATGACATCTCCCTGTGGCCTCAGGCTCCTCTGGATTCCCTCCTGGGAGAGAGGAGTCTGAAAACAGGGACTGGCTGACCCACACTCTTGGAGACCTGCCAGAGCTAAACGGCTTCTACCACAAACACTCGCAGTGACAAAGGTCTGATAGAGTCCATGGTGAGAAAATGCTACTTTATTCCAGAAAGCTTCTAACATAATTAGCATTCATAGGGAATCTGCCCAGTGTGGACATTGGGATGAACAAGGTTCAACCTCTGGCTGATGGCCCCCTTATAAAGACTGTTCTCAGAGCTCATCTCTACTGCACATCGCTGTGCTGGAGGAGGGTGCACATTTTCTGCACTCCTTTCTCTGGTGTGAATTTTCTGGTGCCGGACGAGGGTAGGCCTCTGGCTAAAGGCTTTTCCACATTCACTGCACTTATACGGCTTGTCTGATTTGTGAACCTTCTGGTGCTGCCTCAGATTAGATCTTTGCCTGAAGGTTTTCCCACATTCCAGGCACTCATAAGGTCGCTCGCCAGTGTGAAGCCTCCGATGGTTATTGAGGCTGGAGCTTTGGTTAAAGAATTTCCCACATTCAGGGCACTGATAAGGCCTCTCGCCAGTGTGAAGTCTCCGATGGCTATTTAGGCTGGAGCTCTGGCTAAACAATTTCCCACATTCGATGCACTCATAAGGCCGTTCCCCAGTGTGGACTCTCTGATGCTTCATGAGGTCGGAGCTTCGGCTGAAGGCTTTCCCACATTCACTGCACCTGAAAGGCCGCTCGCCAGTGTGGACTATCTGGTGTTGGATGAGACTGGCGATGTGGCTGAAGAATTTCCCACATTCATTGCACTTATAAGGTCTTTCTCCAGTGTGAACCCTCAAGTGTTTAATGAGGCTGGAGTTGCAGTTGAAAGACTTCCCACACTCACTACACTCATGCGCGCTTTTGCCAGTGTGAACCCTCTTATGATGAATGAGGTTGGAACGCTGGCTGAAGAATTTCCCGCATTCACCGCACTCATAAGGCTTCTCTCCAGTGTGCACCCTCTTATGCTGAATGAGGTTGGAGCTTCGGCTAAAGAATTTCCCACATTCACTGCACACATGAGGGCTTTCCCCAGTGTGAACTCTCTGATGTTTAACAAGACTGGAGTGTTGGCTAAAGAACTTCCCACACTCGCAGCACTCATAGGGCTTTCCTCTGTTGTGATCTCTCTGGTGCTGAAAGAGGCCAGAGGCATGGCTAAAGAATATCCCACATTTGTTGCATTCATAAGGCCTTTCTCCAGTGTGGGTTCTCTGCTGCTGAATAGGTGTGGGTTTCTCGCTGAAAGCATTCCCAAATTCACCGCACTTGCTGTGGCTTTGCACTGTGTGACAGTCCCCCACACCAGTGCTCTGGGGTGGCTCCTCCACTCTGTGAGCGACCTGATGCTGTGGAAGGTCAGATGTAGCTGTCCCACCCACAAAGTCCTTCCCACCCTCCCTGACTGTAAAAGGTTCTTTTGATGTGTCATCTCTGCAGCTCTTCACAAATGAGGCCCTGTCCTCATCCCTTCTGACAGGCTTGTCTATACTCTGCTGCATCTGATGCTTGTAAAGGTTTGCTCTGGACTTGGACTCTCTCCCCGGTGCCTCACACATGTATGGTTTCTGGCTGGGATGTGTTGCCTGGTGTTCAGCCAGGTGCAAAATGTCTCTCAAGTGTAGGCCACACATGTCACAGGAGTAGTCCTTCTGCTTGGACAGAGCCGCCTTGAGCTTCCTGTCCTGGGACACTCCTGCTACAGACACACTATGCTCAGCCTCTGTTGCACAGCAAAAACCTGAAAACAGAGAAATGCTAGTGAAGTTACTAGGAGCTCTGATGGAAGGAAGCAGCCCCATGACAAATGCACCCCTGACCCTGGAATGGGTCCTCAGGATAGCTGGCAAGACGAGAAGCCTGAAGTCAGGGTAAGGGATGATCTGCTCTGCAGTACCGTGACTGGCAAGGTCACAAACCAAGGGTGGCCTTGCCAGGACCAAGGACACAAGTATGGGCACAGTATTGGGACAAAAGGTGAGGTCTCCAACTCACTTCTCTAAAGGCTTTTCAGCAGGGCCTTAGCTATTGCTAACACACAAGCCCTGTGCAGAATGGCGTGTCCAGGCCCAGGAAAATCTGATTGCAACTGAGTAGCCACTGTTTAAGGACTACGAAAGGGAAATATGCACATATCATGACATATTAAGTGTATGTCCTGGTGGAGACAGTCACAGGGGGAGCTGTGGAAAGAGTGAGTCAGGTGTCACAAGTTAGAGCAGAAATGACAAATGGGCGATGTGTCAAGAACAGGAAAGGTAGAAGAGAGATGTGGCCATGGGCTTGGGCACCAAAACAAGGATGAACATGAGAAAAGCTGCAGGTGTGATGTGAGGACGGTAGTGATGTCACCTGCCCCCTCACCCCCCACTCACCAGAGATGGGTCCGCTGTATGCCCCTCTTGCCATGGCTGAAGTCATGTCCACCCTGTCAGGTACCCATGGCTCTGCCCCCATCTGCAGCTGGGCAACTATGTAAGACCTGAAAGACGTAAGTCCTGAGGGAAAGACATGACAGCTAAGTGGCCAGCACTTGGCCAGGTGAACTACCTGATGACAGATCACAGAAAACAAGGTGAAATATTACAAAAGGAACACACAGTGTTCCCAGCAGTCAGGCCCCAGGACACATCAGCTCAAGGACAGGGTCACCCAGGCAGAGAGCAGCTGAGCCAGCCGGGATCCATGGGGCTACATGCAAAACTCCTCACTCCCGTCCCCTTCCCCAAAATGCTTTGGGGCAGCAGGTGTTGGGGCGGCTCAGGGAGAGGATGGGACACTGCACATGGCACAGGCCTGCAATGTGCACCACATATCCTGGGAGAACCGGGAAGGAAGTGGTGCCACAGTCTGGCCATAGGAAGGAACAGGGGACAGGCAGCGTGAGCTCAGGACATCAGGTGGGTGGGAAGGCCTTACCCAGCGAGGCTATAAGTGCAAAGTTCTCCAGCATCACGTCGCAGTACAGGAGTCTCTGAGCCTCATCAAGGAGCCCCCACTCCTCCTGGGAGAAGTAAATGGTCACGTCCTCAAAGGTCACACAGCCCTGCCATGATGGGGACAGTTCATGCCATGATCAGCTTCTCTCCTCAGGACTCCCTGTCTGTCCCCTGCACTGCCTCCTCCCTAGCTCCCAACTCAGAGGAGACTCAAGGCCCTGGTTCCACCGGTGTTTGCCTTTTTCTATGCCTCACCTGACCACTGTGGTGGTCCACAACATCAACAGGCAGGGGGGAGAGAGACACCATACGCTCTGGGCCCGAAGTGCAGGACTGAACCCCCTCCTTTGTGGGCCCCCCTCCTATGTCATTAACAGACAAACATGGACTCAATCTTCTCCCTTAATTGCCAGTCTCAAGGTCCTGGGCCAAGAGCTTGGACTGCACCTTCCTCAGACTCTGGACCACACTGCTGCATCCCCATTGTCACCGTGCCCTCCCCCATATCAGCCCACATCATAGCCATCGCCATGGACCCTCATGTTACTCCACACATGACATCTGGAAAGTTCTTGGCAAAGACAACCATGATCCCATCTGGGATGGCTCCCACCACCAAGGGCAACACTCGCCAGGGAGTTAAAGGTCCCCTTGCTTGGTCCTTTCCTGGCTTCAATCCAAAGCTATGCAGAGCCACACATATCAGACACCCTTGGGCCTCTTCCTCTTCTATGTTGCACATGGGTTCTCCTACCCCCACCCACTCAGGGTCACCTGCTCCCAGCTGACACCATTTGCCCCTAAGCTAATTCACCAGCCCAACTGAAAATCCCCGGCCCCACCAAGGGGTACCACAAAGTCCTGCTGAGGATGTGGAGGGGTGACTAAGCTCCAGCCTCCATTACTACTGATCCTCTTCATCCCATCCATCTCTACACCCCCGGCCACACCCCCTTTCCCTACAGAGCACCACCACCACCACCACCACCACCACCACCACCACCACGACCACCACTACCACCACCACCACCACCACCACCACCACCACCACCACTATTCTTCCATGTCAGTCTTCATGAAGCCAAACAAGCCAACCATGCTGTCCCAGCAACAGACCCAGTGCTCAGTTCTCAGCCCCCACCTTCCTCTTTCCTGCTGAACATCGTTGCCCCCAGGACCTGAAGGTTCGGACACACAACCACATGCCACATTTTAGATGTTTTAGCTGCAGAAACACCAACCAAATAAGAAAAGCCAAGGATGTTTATACTGAGCTCGCTATGGCGAGGGAGAGAGCCGCCGTCGCTCCAGTTTTGGCAGACCCAAAGGCAGGCAGAGGAGTGGGAGAGCTGTGTAGCAGAAAACAGAAGCCTTCAAGTGGGTGCTGACCGCGGGGGGGGGGGGGGGCGCTGCTGGCACGGGGAAGCTGGAGCCAGGCTAACCAGAAGCGGGCCCCCTGTGTGACTGGTTAGGGGTGTACATTTGGTTCTACTTGGAAGAGAAGAGGAGTTGGAAGCAGGAACAAAAATTAGAGAAGCTGTCAGTTGTTAATGAAGCCCTGGTCATCTGGGGCCAGTTGTTAGAGAAGCTATTGTTCCTGGCTTGTCACTAGAGATGGCAATCTGGCTTCCTGCGAGTCTCTAATTTAAGCAGGCTACTAGCTTCCTGGGTTGTTTATTGTAGATAAAGAGGTTGGTTTCCTGGGCAGGTCCCTGCAGGTTGTGGGTCGGAATTCTATTTTTGGATAAGGCCTAGCCTTTGTCCCTTTGTGTAGTCAGTCCTTCATTACCTTAACTCTACGGCCCGCAGACACCCCATAACTGGTGTCTAGCTGCCCGCTCAGCTCCGCTCAGGGGTCTCTGGAACACCAGAGCTCAGCGGCGCCAAAACCTCACTTCTACTTTTATACTGAAAATTCCTTCTACAACCAACTTTCCCATCCAGCCTTCCAGCTGCTGAAGCCAAAAGCCATCCCTTCCCTTTCTCACCTTCCACGTCAGAACATCTGGTCAGCCTGACTTAAAAGAGGGATCCAGAATCCAGTGACTTCCACCTCCAGCCCCTGCAGCGCCCATCCGAACCAGCGCAGCGGCGGCTCCTGCTCTCCCTGCCTCCACCCTTCCCCCGGGTCAGCTTTCCACTCCGCGTCCACAGGGAGCCTGTCAAGACCCGAGTCAGATCACCTTCCTCTTCTCCTCGCGACCGGCTGTGGCTCCCACCCCATCAGAACACAGGCCCAGCTCCTCTGCCCGCCATCCGGGGCTCCCCGTCTCCCGCCTGCTCTCCGGACCCTCAGCTCACTCTCCCCGCCCAGCATCTGCACACGCCCGTCCGTGTGCCCGGGAAACCCTTCCTCGCCTCCTGCCACTGGATTTCGGAAGTGGGAAGCGCCCTGTATCCTCTCCGGCCTGGATCCAGCACCCCAGGCGGGGCGGGGCTCCCCTCCAGCGCCCCCAGACTCCAAAGCCGAGGAGAGGCGGGCGAGGCTAGCGGACAGACAAGGCCCCCGCCGCGGCGGCTACCTGCGCACTCACCTGCGCCCGGTCCCCGAGCGCCGCCGCCGCCGCCGCCATCGGTGCCCGGGCTCGCAGCGGATCCGCCCGGGACTCGGCCCCCCGGGCTCCCCGGCTTCTCCCGCCCCGGGCGCGGCGGGCCTCGGGCCTCGGGCTGGTGCACGCGCCGGGGACGCGGGGCGGAGCGGGGTCCCGGCTCCCCCGGCCTCGGCCCCCTGGCTCCGGAAAGGCCACGGGGGACGCGGGCGCGCACCCCCGGCCCGGCGGGGACTGGCTGGCCTGGGACGCAGGAAGTTCCCGCCCCGAGCGGCGCCCGGCTCCCGGCTGTCCTTGGCCCCGAGCCAGGCGCGGACTCCGCGTTCAGTCCCCCGCCGGCGCTTCCCGTCCCGCCCACGGCCGCGCTGTGGGGGACGGAGCTGGGGGGACGTGGGGGGTAAACCTGCCGGGGGGCGGGGCGGGGCGGGGGGCGGTGCTGGGTGGAGGGGCTGGGGCGGTGCTGGGTGGAGGGGCGGGGCGGGGCTGGGGGCGGGGCTAGGTGGTGGGGCGGGGCTGGGGGCGGTGCGGGGGCGGTGCTGCGTGGTGAGACGAAGCTGGGTGTAGGGGCGGTGCTAGGCGGGGGGGCGGTGCCAGGGGGCGGTGCTGGGTGGTGGGACGGTGCAGGGGCGGTGCTGGGGCGGTGCTAGGTGGTGAGGCGGTGCTGGGTGGAGGGGCGAGGGGCAGGGGCGGTGCCAGGTGGTGGGGCGGGGGCGGGGCGGGGGCGGGGCGGGGGGGCGGTGCTAGGTGGTGAGGCGGTGCTGGGTGAGGGGCGAGGGGCAGGGGCGGTGCCAGGTGGTGGGGCGGGGGCGGGGCGGGGGCGGGGCGGGGGGGCGGTGCTAGGTGGTGAGGCGGTGCTGGGTGAGGGGCGAGGGGCAGGGGCGGTGCCAGGTGGTGGGGCGGGGGCGGGGCGGGGGCGGGGCGGGGGGGCGGTGCTAGGTGGTGAGGCGGTGCTGGGTGAGGGGCGAGGGGCAGGGGCGGTGTTAGGTGGTGGGGCGGGGCGGGGGCGGGGCGGGGGCGGTGGTGCTCGGAGCGCGGTGCTGCGGGCGGCGGTGCTGGGAGGGCCGTGCTGGGTAGTGGTGGGGCTCGGGTCTGGGAGGCGGTGCTGCGTCGTGCGGCGGGGGTGTGGGTGGCGGTGCTGGGAGGGCCGTGCGAGGTCGTGGTAAGGGGGGGCGCGGTGCGGAGTGGTGAGTGGTGGTGCGGCGGTGGCGGTGCCGGGTGCTGGGGCGGGGGGCGGTGCCTGGGAGGGGCGGGAGACCCGGGCGACGCGAGGGGGCGGTGCTGGGGGTGGCGCAGGGGCGGGGCGGGGCGGGGATGCGAGGGGCGGGGCGGGGGTGTCCGTGCGGAGGGCGGGGCGCGCGCCTGCTCCCGGCGTCTCGCTGGTTCGCGCCGGTCCTCGGTGTCGGGGGCTGTTCCCGGGCTTCTCTGTGCCGGGAGCCCCGTCCCAGGCGCCCGCGGGGGTGCGCCACGGGAGACCTGTTTGGGCCTCCACCTCTCGGACCCTCGGGAGGGCCCAGGTTCGCGCTGACGGACGAAGCTAACGCCTGATCTGCGGGATCTGTAGGTTCACTCAGTGCTTCTCAAACCAGCATCAGCATCGTCTGGAAATTTGCTAAAAATGCAAAGTCTTGGGCAACAACCCAGGCCTAAGGACTCGGAAATTCGGCGGCTGGGGCCCGGCCTTCCGTGTGTGGACAAACCCTCCAGGGGACTCCAATTTGAGAAAGGGGAGCCTTGGTAGGGTCACAGGGCCCACACGTATTTACTGCGGGGCCCTGAGCCAGCAGCAGCAGGATCTGTAACGTCGTCGTCACGGGTCACGAACCCCCTTGTGGGAGGGCAAACCAGAGACCGCGCTCCACAAATAATGACTCAGCAAATAACTGCATCGGTGATGGTGCAATACTTACATGAAAACACACTTTTAACCATTTGGCTGTTTTATTATTTAAAATACATTATAGAAAAAATGCATCATGCAGCAAAGTTTCACAAACAACAAGTCGACTGCGCAAAGGACGGATTCTTACAGGTCACTTGATTCAACATTTGAGAACATCGGAGTGAAACCTCAGGCATGAGTGGACACAATGGAACGGACATGGTTTCTTTCAGTGGTTTCAAGTTTAATACATTACTCACGTCTAATTCTCAGGCATTAAAGGAAAAAAAATTCAGGACACTTGTTGAGAATGATAAGACAGACGGTTCAGAGGCCCTATTGTGCCAGGAATAGGAACCTCTGCAGTGAGAGCTTGTAGTGAGAAGGATTGAGATCAACTCCAGGTAGAACAAGGAAAATGGAATTTATAGCAAAGCAACAGGTGGGGCTAGGGGATGGGATATTACTAAAAGAAGACTTCAGAAGATAAGAGGGGTTCTGGCTAAACCAACCTAACAGAATTCTTGCTGAAGGCAGCCTAGGAGGATCAGATGTCACCAGGGGGGTGTTGGGGAATGAGGGACCTGATCAGATATCACCAGTGATCAATACGGAGGGTAGTTCTGGTCAAACTGACTTTAGGATTCTTGCTACAATTAGACAATGCAGTGAGGACCATGGAAGCCTGAAACAGGGCCCTGCAGAGAAGAGAATTCAGAACAGACTAAGTAGAGGTTGATCAAGGGGAATATCTTTGTCACAGGAAGCAAAACTTTCCCTCCTGACTACCCTATGGCATTCAGAGCAGCCAGATCCAGGTACAAATATATGATCACGAGATATCCCAGCTTGATGTCCAGTGGCTGGAGGGGACCAGGCCTGTCCTCATCAATGTTGAATCGGCCCACCACCTGAAGCTTCAGCCCACCAGGGAGCACTAACTCCTGGAGAGGTGGAAACAGCAGTCCAAGGAGGCCATACCGGGAAGAGGCACAAAGGGAAGATGTAATGGAGACACAAGTTCACAGTTGCTTCCGTCCATTTTTCACTGCCCCAAACTCATTTACGTGGTCCAAATTAAATGTAAGGGAAGCTGGGTGGACAGAAAGAGATAAAGCAATTGGTGAGCATATAACCAGTTTCAAGACAATCCATCAGTTTGGTAACCACATACTCCTCTTTTATTCCTCCTACGCATTCAATACTCATTAACCCTCTTTTATAGGACAACCCCAAAACCTCATCCAGTCACTACCTCAATTTCAGTCTTAGACCTTAGGCTCCTAACCTAACCTATAACCAGGAGGCTATAACAAAATAGGTTACTTGTCACCTCTCACTCCCACTATAAGTTGTGGTTTCAGGGACACTATGCAAGGATCTTTTCAAACTACTGAAGAAATTCCTGCCAATCTAGATTTCTATACATAGCAAAAGTGACTCTCAAGAAAAAAAGATCTGAAATGAGATTATTTCAAGCCCCAAATGAAAATTTTAGTGGAAAATTAACTCACATAATATGCAATTCTAATGACTATAATTTAAGAGCAATGAAAATGATTCCAGGTGAAATCTTTGGGGTGATGGGAATGAAGATGTGAGAGACGAGTGTGTCTGTGGATTCGTGTAACTGTTCATTCTCTGTATAAAATGTGAATATTATCTCCTGCGGAATTTAAATGATGGCATTACCATGCGTACCATAAAAATCATAGTAATGAAAATGGGACAAAGTGATGAATATTCCAAGTTCCCTATACTGTCCAGGAGGAAGATAAAGGTATTTATAACACTCTGCGCTAATGTGTTGAAATAAGTATTTGTAATTTTTATTTTTTTATTTTTATTTATTTTTTATTTTTTAAAAGATTTTATTTATTCATGAGAGACAGAGAGAGAGAGAGAGGCAGAGACACAGGGAGAGGGAGAAGTAGTCTCTACACAGGGAGCCTGATGTGGGACTTGATCCTGGGTCTCCAGGATCAGGTCCTGGGCTGAAGGCAGCGCTAAACCACTGAGCCACCCGGGCTTCCCAGTATTTGTAATTTTTAGCTTAAATAAAATAAGTAGGGGCCCCTTTAGGCTGTTTACATTAGAGTCCACTGTGTTATGCTTTGAAGACAGGGGAACTGAAAGGATCCCATTTTTAAAGCTGCTCTTTTTTTGTCCTTTTCCTGCTTCTATTCTTGCTAGAAGCTGCACCCCCACCTCACATATGCCTTCATGTATGTCCTCCTTGTGAAGGTCAAGGAGTTAATGATTTCTTTGGAATCTTCTAGCATAATGGCTGACATCTAAAGGGGTGACCAGGTGAGATCATCATGTACATTTTCCAGGGCCACTGATTCCGGACACCTTGGGGCCAAGACTCCTGGCCTGAGGGTATAAGTGACTTAAGGGGGACACTTGAGCACTTGTCCTTGTTAGATTGGTTCCTGGATGCCTAAGGATACGTACACCAGACCACCATCCTCAATAAAACTCCAGACCCCCAAACAAAGATGAGAATCTCTCTCCTTTCCTTTCTGAGCGTCCCAGATGTTCCATCTGTACCTGCTCTGTCTATAACTGCAGTAAACTCTGCTCTACTTCCTGAGGGCTCATATTTGATTTCCATCCTGGATGAAGCCAAGGATGCTCTTAGCTGGTCTTGTGTGACCCCCTCTGGGTCCTCAGACCTGGCTTACCTACATCACTTTCTAGGGGTTTTGACAAATATATAATATCATGTGTGGTGTCTGAAGGAAGTGTCTCTTCTGATCAGATGAGGGGCCCCAAATGTGGAGCGACAATTGGGTGGAAGCCAGCGGGAGGGGCCCTGAAAGAATTCACCCAAGGCAGAACAAAGGAGGTAGAAGTTTACGGAATACCCTGCAAGGGAGCAGTGGGCAGGACAGCAGAGGAGAGTCTGTCTACCAGGAGGCAGTGAGTAGGGACTGTTTCTAAAGGAGGAAGAGGAACAGTTATGACAATATATGGAATTCTCCATTTTTGGTAACTGTGCCTGGTTGTAAGTAGCTCATTGATCAGTTAGGGCCTGTAGATATTTTGAGGCAGGTCACCTGATGACCTGTCTGTATTCACCCA